CCGGTCCGGGCGGGCGGCGGGCGTCCCTTTCCCTCCTGGAGGGAGAAGGCAGCGCTGAGCGCAGATCCGTGCAGAACTGCACCCCGCGCGGGGAAATCCCGGACACTCCCACATGCGAGCCGAGGAACGGGGAGACTTGGAGGGAGGGGCGGGGCGGTGTGGGGTGGCGAGTGGGAGGGACAGCTGACATGAATTCCAGCCTCACTAGGTGACCCTGAAAGCTGAGCCACAGCTGAACCCCCATGAGTTGGATTGCAGAGCTCACGTGTGTGTGTGTGTGGGGGGGCCGGGAGATCTGGGGGCACCCCCAGGCCCCTAGCCAGTGAGCAGGGTGACCCTGAAAAATAGGACTCTGCGTCTTTGGGCCTCAGTTTCTGCTTCTGAAGGAAACAGCTCCGGGGTCCCCGTGGGGAGTCCAGGAGAGCTCGCTGACTCCAGGGCATGCAGGTTCCAGCAACGGGGCGACGTAGCTCCTGTCCTGACACCCAGGTTTCAGGTGGGGGGACACAGCGAGGCTCAGAGACCGTAAACTTGAACTCAGGCGCCACGCTTGGGATCCAGTTGGTTTTTTAAAAAATACTAGAGGCCCGATGCACGAAATTCGTGTAAGAGTAGGCCTTTCTTCCCCCGGCTGCCAGCACCGTCATCCCTCGTAGCCCTGACTTCGTCCGGAAGGTCGTCCAGTCTAATTAGCATATTATGCTTTTATTATTATAGATTTTTTATTGATTTCAGAGAGGAAGGGAGAAGGAGAGAAATAGAAACATCAATGATGAGAGAGAATCATGCATCGGCTGCCTCCTGCACGCCCCACACCGGGGATTGAGCCCACAACCCAGGCATGTGCCCTGAACGGAAATCCAACCGTGATCTCCTGGATCATAGACCCAGGTGCAACCACTGAGCCACGCTGGCCGGACTTGAGATTCATTTTTAAACGATTTCACACGCATTTTGCTCCTTGGACTGGGAAAGATTACCGAATCACTGAAGTAATTACACACGTGAGCTCTGCAGTCCAACTCACGGGGGTTCAGCTGTGGCTCCCCCCGGGATTAGAACTTGGGGGGGGGGACCCAGGTCCCAAGCCGGTGAGAAAACTGTATGTGAAATTGTGGAAAGCCGCAAACCACTGGTTGTTAGAGCGATTTACCGTAAATGAGCAACAGCTGCGGGTCCGGGGAGGGTGATGGTTTAGCTGCTGGTCAATCAGGGGAACCTCACCCTGGAGATGTAGGGTTTGCATCGTGGACACCAGAGGGAGGGCGCTCCCAGGGGAGCAGAGGCGGCAGCGGGACAGCGGCCCTGCCCGCCCAGGACGCTGTCCTCTCCCCCAGACGCAGCTCTGCCTGTGTTTTGCTGGTCAGTGCCTGTGGCTGCGGCACCCCCCCCCCCCCCCCCCCCCACGCTCAGTGGCTGCACACAGCGCCAGCTCATTCTGCGGGTCTGTGGGTCGGAGGCCCCGAACCTCACGGGGCTGCATCCCTGCTAGGGCTCCCTTGCCTCCTCTCTCATCCGGAAGCCACCGCACGCCTTGGGCCATGGCCCTGCCTCTGTCCGTGACTTGCCTCTCTGTCTGGCCCTCCTTCTGTCTTCACGTCTTCCTCTGTCACTGCAGCTGGGGGAGTTCTCCGGGTTTAAGGCTGTGTGTGATTACATGGGGTCCACTTGGTTACTGTTATTATTACTTTATTTTGGGGGGGGGTTAATCCTCACCCGAGAATATTTTCCATTGATCTTTTTTTTTAGAGAGAGTGGAAGGGAGGGGGACACCCAGCTTTTTTTCTCACTAGAGTCACCGCCTCGAGCGCAGGCCCTGGTCTCCTGGACCCAGGGACCCTGCTGCTGCAGTCGGCACCTACTGAATACCTCCGACCGAGTGCCTGAAAGAACGGATAACTAGGGAAGAGGCTGCGCCCGGCACACCCCTCCTCCAGGAGCCTGAACTGGATTCTAAGTCAGATGCCCTTCGTCCATCCTGGCTCTGAGGGGCTCACTGTGTTCTTGGTTTTTAAGTATTTGTGTAACCGAGACTCGGCCTTCTGTACAGCGAAGCAGGAGACAGTAGAGAGGCGTGCGGACAGACAAAAGGGTGGTCTGCTGATCGGACGCTCCGCACTGTGACAGAGGCAGCCCCTGAGGCTGGAACAGGAGGAAGTGAGCCCATCGGTGTGACCTTCACTCAGAAACGGAGCACTTCTTCCTACCGGCACAGGCACGCCGTGTGGGTCTGGTTGGGGGTGCTGGGGTTTAGGAGGCCAGCCCACGCGGCCCCTCCTGGCTCTCTGGCTGCCCCCACGCGTGGGCTCACTGTGCCTCAGGCCCCGAGGGGGCTTCTCATGACCATGTGCCCAAATGTGTCCGCATCCTGCTCCCTGCCACGCTGGGATTCTTCAGAGAAAATGAATGACAAGTTCCGAGAATTTTCAAATCTATTACAACTTCCCCCCGAAACACACCTCCATCCACGGAGCGACTGGAAACACAATTCCATGATAGTCACAGGTAGAAACGGACACGCGTGAGACTAGACCCACACATGCCGGTTCTATTAGGGAAGTGAGTTGGAGGCGAGGCGAGGGCCCTTACCTGTTTCACCACGGTCACCGTCCCGGGAGCCATGGCAACCACGGAGGCCACGGCCGTGGCGTCGTGGGCCTCGCTGCCCAGCTCAATGATCTGCTGGAGGATGTTTACCGCTGTGGGGTCCAGCCGGTCACCTTACGGGGAAGAAACAGATGGGACCCCTTAGGCCGCTGGTCCCGAAGGTCCCCGAATGCGAACAGCCAGAGCTCCAGCCCAGAGGCTCTGAACTCAAGTGTGGTAACACGAGACCACCTCTCAAGACGGAGGCCTGGGCAGTGCCAGCCATGGCGTCAAGGCAGAGGTCCGGGCCCCAGGCACACAGGCAGGCGGTCGGCAATAGGCTCCGGGCAAAACACCCTGGGATGTCTCACTGTCCAAGCGACGGGCGTCTAGTCCCAAACCTATTAAGCTTGGGTTCTACTGGAATCATCTCAAAAAACTGGAATCCAGCCCGGCCGGTGGGCTCAGTGGTTGAGCGTCAACCTATGAACCAGGAGGTCATGGTTCGATTCCCAGTCAAGGGCACATGCCCGGGTTGCAGGCTGGATCCCCAGTAGGGGGCGTGCAGGAGGCGGCCCATCAATGATTCTTATCATTGATTTTCTGTCCTTTGCTCCTTCTCCCTTCTTCTCTGAAATTAATAAAAAATATATTTGAAAAAAACACACACATATGTTTAAGGACATATGTTAAGTACAGTCGTGGAGGTACCTATGGGAGAAGATGAGGAGGATGGAGACTGGGGACAAAGAGGAAAAAGATAAAACAAGAAGAGACAGTGTAGGGCAGTGATGGCAAACCTTTTGAGCTCGGCGTGTCAGCATTTTGAAAAACCCTAACTTAACTCTGGTGCCGTGTCACATATAGAAATTTTTTGATCTTTGCAACCATAGTCAAACAAAGACTTATATTTTTGATATTTATTTTATATATTTAAATGCCATTTAACAAAGAAAATCAACCAAAAAAATGAGTTCGCGTGTCACCTCTGACACGCGTGTCATAGGTTCGCCATCACTGGTGTAGGGGCTGTTGGTGACAACATACAGAGGCGTATGATCAGCTTAGCTCTCTGCACCTTGGGTCTGAGAAATGAGCCATCAGTAAGACCGCTCTGGCCCTGGCGGTGGCTCAGCTGGTCAGAGCAGCATCCTATGCACCAAAGAGGTTTCAGGTTCGATTCCCTGTCAGGGCACACGCCCAGGTCTCGGGTGCAATCCCCTGGTTGGGGCAGGTACTGGAGGCAAGCGATTGATGTTTCTCTCACCTGGATGTTTCTCTCCCTCTCCCTCTCCCTCAAATCAATAACAACATGTCCTTGGGTGAGGATTTTTTTTTTTAAATCAGTATCACTCTAGGCATCTGAGCCCTGACAATATCTCAGTAAGCTGGGATTCTTGAAGTCATTAAAAACGATGACAACGTATTGAGCGATATGCTATCTATCAGGCACTATTCTAAGTACTTGGTATGTTCTACTCCTTTAATCCTTGTCACATCCACATGGGCGCTGTGATGGAGGGGCTGTAATGATGCCCATTTCACAGGTGGGAGAAACTGAGGCACAGACGTCAGGGCCTCTGACAGTATCGATAATCGTGAGAGGGCGTATTACGTGCTAGGCATCGTGCTAAGCGCTCTGTACACACACAGTCTCCCCGAGTCATAATCACAGTTCTACATGGAAGGTTCGAGGACCATCCATGGTGTCTAGATGGGGAAGAAATGAAGTCAAGGCAGTTAAGTAGCGCGCCCACCGTCACCCAGAAGGGAAGCGAGGAGCTGGGGTTTACACCCAGGCGGCCTGGCTGGAGGCTGAGCCCCCTATCCCGCCCCCTGCTTCTCACCCCTGCAGACGGGGGCGGGCGCCTGGGATGCCCAGAGCAAGAGTGTCAAACTCACAGGCACCCACGGTCCGAATAAACAAGGTGTAAGTGGATGTGGCCGCAAAAAAACAAAAGCTTCCATTTTCATAGAAACGTAGGTTTATGTCGATAGAGACGTGCTGAATGCAAAGGTGCAGACGGGGGCGGGCGCCTGGGATGCCCAGAGCAAGCGTGTCAAACTCACAGGCTCCCACAGGCCGAATAAACAAGGTGTAAGTGTATGTGGGCTGCAAAAAAGCAAAAGCTTCCATTTTCATAGAAACATAGGTTTATGTTGATAGAGACATGCTGCATGAAAAGGGCTGAAATAAATGAGTCATCGTTAACACAAAATAGTAGAACATTTTAATAAAAATTAATATATTTTTTTTAACATGAACTTACCAGACACTGAGTAACTGCACAAATTAATAAGCATCATGCAAATAAACCTATTTTTCTTGCTCTCCGAAAGCGAACTATTTCCTGTTGTGCACACCCAACAAGTCAGTCCCAGACTAAGGATGTGGCCATCGGCTGCTAAGATATTCGCTGCTGGTATTAGTGGAGAGAAATGGTGCCCTGTTTGTAAGGCACGTAAGGGAAATGAATGCAACACAATGATAGTCATCAGTCACTAGCGAACGTTGTAGTTTGTTGTTAATAATTATGTATAACAGGATATTGTAAACATTAAGTTACGAAATTTTTATTGAAACGTTTCTGACATACCATTCTATTGGCTGGGCCGCAAAAATATTCGCTGTGGGCCGCGAGTTTGACACGCTTGCTCTAAGCTTCCAGCACAGGTGTGATTCAAACTTAACTGAATCAAAAATGTGAAAAAGGAAACATTGCATTTCTTTTTTTGTTATTGCTTAAAGTATTACAAAGGGTATTACATATGTGTCCTATAAACATTGCATTTCTGAGTGGAACGAGGCGCATGTGAAGGGCTCAGTAACCACACGGGACCACACGGGACCACAGAGCACCCCCATCACTAGAAAGTGATACTTAATGGCCTTGACTCTGAGTACAAAGGACCTGGGTTCAAATCTTGTCCCTGCACCATGCAAACTCTGTGTGTGTGTGTGTGTGTGTGTGTATGTGTGTGTGTGTGAGACTTTGGGCAAGTTACTTACCTTCCTGGCCTGACTTCCCTCATCTGAAAAAACTTTTTCAAAATAGTTTATTCATGTTTAGAGAGAGAGGAAGGGAGAGGGAGAGAGAGGAAGAGACAAACAGCGATGCGAGAGCGAAACATCCACCAGCTGTCTCGTGCACGCCCCCTACAGGGGGTCAAGCCTGAAACCCTGGCCTGTGCCCTGACGGGGAATCGAACCAGCAACCTTTCTGAGCGAGCAGGGCTGACGCCCAACCTGGACGAGGATGAGGCTTCTAATCGGGTCCTACCTTTCGGGGGCGCCCAAACTCGCAGTAATCAGGATCAATAAAATCTTCATACAATAGTTTTAAAATTCAAAGTTAATGGGAAAATAAGCCACAGTGAACGAAATATCGACATTTTAAATAAAGACAGGATCCCACCGACCTCACCGGGCTCCCCCTAATCTCGGCTCCGTCAGGTCTTGTCTTGGGTTGAAATGTTGACATTTTGTTCATCGTGGATGTTTTTTCCCATTAATTTTTTTAAAATGTATTGAAGTTTTACAGAGAGGAAGGGAGAGGAATAGTTAGAAACATCGATGAGAGAGAAACATGGATCAGCTGCCTCCTGCACACCCTCTATTGGGGATTTCCCCCGCAACCAAGGTACATGCCCTTGACCGGAATCGAACCTGGGACCCTTCAGTCCGCAGGCCGAGGCTCTATCCACTGAGCCACACGGGTCAGGGCTTTCGCATTAATTTTGATTGTTTTAAAATACGGCACAAACACATGTACCTTGATTACTGAGATGACTCTTCCGAACCTCCTGCTCCACCCCTCCTGCTTCTGCACCTAAAGGCACCTCTCACACTCTCCCCCTTACC